GGGCGCCGCGGGGCTGGGGAAGGTGGCGGCCGCCTGTCCCCGTCCCGCGGGGTCCCCGTTGCTGTCCCCKGGGCCCCGCACTGCCCCCGTGCCACGCTGACCCCTTACTGTGCCAATGCCAACCGCTGCCATCCCGCACCGCCCCGTCCCCAAACCACCCCCATCCTCAGACGCTCTCCTCGTCTCCCAGTGTCCTCCCATGCCGAAGCACCTCCATGCCCACGCCGTCCCATCCGTTCCCATCCCGCGCTCCGTGGCGGCTCGTGGGGCTGGGGCTGGAAGGCAGGTCTGGGGATCGCCCAGTTCCACCCGCCAGCGCAAGCAGCGGCACCTTGAGCACCTTGCACGAGGGGTTAACATCTCCAGAGAAGAGGGAGGCTCCACAGCCTCTCTGGGCAGCCCAGGCCAGAGCTTTGTCATCCTCACAGTCAAGAAGCTTTTCCTCAAGCTCAGGAGCACCCTCCTGTGCCTCACTTTGTGGCTGTTGCCCCTCGTGCTATCGCAGGTCACTGCTGAGGAGGGTCTGTCCCCGTCYTCCCTTCTCCAGACTGAGCAGGCCTGGCTCTCGCAGCCTCTGCTCACAGGAGAGCCGCTCCAGCCCCTCGGTCCCCTCCGCAACCCTCTGCAGTAGCCCCAGGTCTCTCTCGTCCTAGGAGCCCAGAGTTGGGCACTGCACATGTGGCCTCACCAGGGCTGAGCAGAGGGGCAGTGTCACCTCCCTCGACCTGCTGGCAACGCTCTGCCCAATGCCACCCAGGCTGGTCCCAAGGGACGTTGCTGGCACCGCACTGTGCACCAGGACGCCCAGGTCCCTCTCTGCAGAGCCGCTGTCCAGCAGGTCACCCCAGCCTGTCCTGGCGCACGAGCTGCTGCTGCCGCCATCCCCACACTGTCCCCACCCTGGCCCGGCCCTAGCCCACACTGCCCCCTATTACGCCCCACACTGTCCCCATCCCTCCCTGTCCCCATCCCACACTGTCCCCATCCACACTTTGCCCTATCCCACCCTCTCCCTTTCCTGTCTCTATCTCCACCTTGCCCCATTCCTCCCAACCCCCTCCATCCCTATCCCACACTCTTCTCATCCTGCCCTGTCCCCAACCCCACCTGTAAYCTGCCCTGGCCTGTACTCACCCTGCCCTATCCTGCCCTTTCCCTCTTATCCTGTCCCATTCCTCCTGTCTCCCCCGCTCAGTCTTCATCCCACCCTTTCCCCGCCATTCCTACCTTGTTCCATCCTTCCCTGTCGCCCTCTCCTCCTGTTCCCATCCTTCCCTGTCCCCATTCCTTTTCCTATCACCATCTYAGCCTGGCCCTATCCCTCCCTGTGCCCATACCCACCTTGCCCTGTCTCCTCCTTCTCCCGAGCTCCTGTCCCCATCCCGCCTCATTCCCCATCCCCACCTGTCTCCATCCCTCCTGCCCCCATCGCTCCCCATCCCTCCCCTCCCCCCCCCCCCCCCCCATCGCTCCCCATCCCTCCCCT